TTTATACTAATCTACTGCATTGTGAATTAACGTTACCCATGTGAAATAGTCAAATACATTACAATTACCAGCCCTGGCACAGTTAGGGAAGCCCTGGCACAGTATATCTCTTGTGCAAGCAGGGCCGGGTCCAGGCTTAGGTGCCCTAGGCAGCTGCCTGGGGCCCGATTGGCACAAGGGAGTCCAGACAAAGTCATGAAATATAAAAATAAAAAATATATATATCATATATTTGTGTATGTAATTTATAAATTAAACAATTACATAAAATTAAGATAATACATAAAATAAAATTTACATAAAATAAAATACATAAAATGTTTATGTACAGGCAGAAACATGGGCACCTCTAACTATGCAGAATAGGCCCCTGAATTATGTGAAATGATCATCAGTTTTCTTGGTAGGGAGGCTTCCCATGTAAAGTACTGACCACGGCCCCTGAAAAGGTACAGTAGATCTGGCCATGCATGTTCATAAGTGAGCTACTTAAAACAGTTACTTTACGGTTACAGTTCAGACTGAGTAAAGTTTCTCAAATATAGTTCCGACACTCAGATGACAGGCTGCAATGCGTGATGGTCTAAATCGACTGATGTAGGGTACAGCTTTTGTACACTACATTTTGGTGTACTTAGTGCCGATTTTGTAGTACACTGCATAGTGAATGAAATTTAAAGTTGAGAATTGAAACAGCACTACAAAATGTCCAACTCACCCTATAGTGCACTATATAGGGGGCGAGTCGACATTTCGAACACAGCCATATAATTTTGTTGGTTGAATTATATAGATAATGATGTTGCTCTGTGTCTCTAGTGATTGGCTGATGTGTGCTATCGGTCTTGATTAGATTTAGATTAGATTAGACTTAACCTTTCTCAATATGCTGAATGGAAACATGGAAAAAGTATAGATAAATTATGAAAAGTGTAAATTGCGGCTCTATGCATAATATGCATGAGGCAACATAAAATGCAGACGGGAAGCAGAGTGAGAATGATTGCTGGGAAATATGTCAAGGTGCAGTGATACAAGTTCAAATTAGAGATATACAAAGTGCAAAATGAACAGTTAGTGCTAACAAATGAACAAAAAACTGTCAGTAAAAACAGTGCTCAGTTAAGGTACCAAATTTTGTGGGTGTGTTAGGTGGAGAATCAATGCTGATAGGTACAATCTGCTTAAATCATGACGTTAGAATCACGTGGCAATACTGTTTCTAGGGTCTCGGTGTTTTAATCGATCTGAAATGAAAAAATGAAAGATTAAATACTGGATTAATCCTGAAGGAAATTTAGGCATGCAGTATCTGAAAAACACAATGATAGACATAATAATATACAGTACATGGTAATAGAATAAAACACAAGCATTTCAGATGTAGAGAGTGCGTTTATGGATGCAGTACAACAGTCAATACCTTGGAGAAGCTGTACAGGTCAAAGTGATTATGAGCGCACAATTCATAATAATTACTACTATACATAATACATGTTGTCACGATCGCAGGCAGGCGAGCAGGGAAGCAGGCGATCGGAGCCAGGAAACAGGGTAAAAACGGGGATTTATTAAGCAGGACAGGACTGGGGAAGCACGACAGTAACATTACAATGACAAGTCTGGGGTACATCGACTGAGACACGGACTAAATGCACAAGACTAGGCAAACGAAACAGGAAACAGCTGGGCACAATCGGGAAAGCACACGTGGATAATGAGGGGGCGTGGCACACACTAGGAGCGGACGGAGCGGGGCGTGACACATGTATATATGATAAAATAAAAAAATAAAATATATAAATATATCATTTTAAAAGTATAATATATAAAAACTATATGATCCATATACTTTAACATAAAACAATATATATAATATTTTAACCTAATATACATAATATAAAAAGTAAATATTTTAAATATGAAATATATATAAAGTATTAAATAAATGAAATATTATTATATATGTATAAATATGTACTCTATAAAATACACATACTCGGTAAAATATTTAAACTATATATGTCAAGAATACATTTTAAATATGGAAGTAAGATTGCTAGACATGATATGCAAATGCATTTTCATAGAAATGCAGAAGGAGCACAGAAGCAGCCACATGCCCTGAAGTCCAATTCGCTCTTCTGTCTCTGTGAGGCGCTGTAGAGCTATATGGCCTGGGGGACAAAAGACTTCCTCAGTCTGTCTGTCGAGCAGGACAGTGACCACAGTCTCCTCTGCCTGGAGACTGTCCTGTGCCAGGGATGACTGACATTGTCCATGATGGTCAGATGTTTGTCTGGGGTCCTTCTCTCTGCCACTGATGTACAGTTCTGTGCCAACCACAGAGCCAGCTCTCCTCACCAGCCTGTGCAGTCGCGCGGCGTCTCTCTTCCTGATACTGTGTCCTCAGCAGACCACAGCATAGAAGAGGAAGCTGGCAACGTCCGACTGGTAGAACATCAGCAGCAGTTTCCTGCAGATGTTGAAAAACCTTAGTCAGCCTCCTCAGGAAGAGAGGCGGCCCTGGCCCTTCTTGTAGAATCCTCCTTCTACCTCTTTCTATACGACAAGAAAGAGAAATGGAAGTGGCAGCGAAAACCAATAGTGATATTCACATTTTTTTCAAGTTAAATATCGGGATGCAATGGAACACAATTCACGGTTCAGTACAAACCTAGGATTTGGGTTCATGGTTTGGTGCAATTTCGATACAGCAGGGAAAACAGAATTTATTCTGAGATTATTTATTATTAAAACCATAAACACTATTAGGAAAAGTTGCAAACTAGAGACAATACATGTGTCCACGTGTCTGATTAAGAAGAAACACACATTGTAAAAAAATGTATTACATTTTAAAAATAGAGTAAGTTAGTATGGTTGCCTCTTTGTGGCTGAATTTGCTTAAATGCCACAGAAAGATTAACTTGCAGAGGCTGTTTCTGCCTGGCGCCGGTCCAGTCGTACACACATTCAGATGATGTTGTCTTGTGTGTTTTCAGCAATATACTGTACACTGGCTTGGTATAACACTAACGCACAGCTCTGGTTGTATCAACTTCTCTCTGTCCGGTGTTGGTATAATTTATTAGGAAGCCAAAACGTTCCCCTTATGACAGACACTACCCAGTATTAGCCGTAACCAACCCACAGCCACAATTAACAATGTTTGTTTGTTTGTTTTTTGGAATTTATGTTCTGCTCCTGTCCATAAATGTATTCATTTGATTTATTTTGTGTACCGAACTGAAAACGATGTATTGAACGCGTACAACGTACTGATAATTCCTCCTGGCAGAGCAGCTACACTCATCAAACTAAAGGAATTTGACCCCCTTTTCATCTCCCCCCCTGCCCCCCCTCCTATTTTATTTGGATTAAAGATAGTTTGCTCCCTTTTCAGCCTTAATGATGCCTTGCTAAAGAAAGAAGTTCTGGCAAATAATGTACCCAGCCCCACCGCCGTGGTGTGGAAACGGTATCGCGTAAGGTGTTACGTCAGACTTAAACAAATTGCGTGGGGAAGAAGCTGCTGCTCAGCCTGCTGGTGTCACAGCGGAGGCTCATGACATCACAGGCTTTTTGGGTTTTGGCCATTCAAAGCACTTTTAAAGAGATACTAGGGATATTTAACAAGAATATAGTTATTTACGTTAAGGAGTGTGTTTATGGGTGCTTGATTTTTCACACCTGTGCTTGATTTTTCGCACCTGTGGCACTGTGTCTGAATGAAACACCTAAATTCAATGATTAAGAGGTGTGTCCCAGTGCTTCATAGTGTAAGTCTTTGTATCATTTAGATCACTCAGCCGTACATGTGAGTGAATTCTTTGACCCTTTACCCATGTGTACCTTTTGTGCACAGTAATTTATTTGTTAGATTACATTGTGATATATTGTCATACACACTGACACCAATCCCAGGAAGTTCAGGGCACAAAAGGATGGAATGTCAAAAAAAGAATGAATTGTTGAGAGAAAAGGAAAAAAAGGACAAAAGATGAAACAAAAATCCAGACAGCACCAAGGACGACAACAGAAATTGTAAGAAGTCCTGTTCTCATCTCCCCAGTATGTCTGTGGGGGGAGGGGCTTACATTGTCCTCTCCGCTGCTGACTGTGTTGGTGCATTGATAGATCATACTTGTTTTCTTAAACATTTCTTCGTTTATTTTTGTTAAACTAATTTTCCGGTTGTTTTTTCTCAGGTCTAACTGTTGCTCAGCCTAATTTTCTGTCTGTCCAGATTTACCATGGGAATTCACAGTCCATCCAGAAAGATCCAGACTCTAAACTCAGTTCAGGATTTAAGAGGTGTGACGTTTGGGCACAAATTCCCCAGACATGGCCTGAAGCTTCTACACTGGCTGGCAAACGAATGGATTGAGTTCGACAGTGACAGACAGATGCTGGCCAGGACAGATCCCAGAACCAGAGAATTTGGGTTCCACATCTTCCACAACATGGAAAACATCCTACCGCTATTGCTTGGAAACCACAGCTGTTACTTTGAGGTGGGGAACCTGCATACCTATGGAGCTGAAGATCTTCCCTTCAGTGAGGACGACGCAGGAAGTAATGGAAGCAACACCGACCGAATCATTGTGCGAATGGACTCAGGTGATGTGATTGGTGAGGTTTACGTCACAGAACACACCCCTCACCAGAACAGCTTCTGTTTTGATTCTACATACCGCATCAGCAGAGGCCTGATTCAGCATATAAATAAGTTGGAGGAGAGTGACTTCCTCCAGCGGGCTGGATACATCCCGAGAAAGTATGAATCTCCTAGATCAGCGAGTAGAGAAACCGCTGTTAAAATAGAGGAGGAGAGTGACTTCCTCCAGCGGGCTGCATACATCCCGAGAAAGGATGAATCTCCTAGATCAGCGAGTAGAGAAACCGCTGTTAAAATAGAGGAGAGTGACTTCCCAAGGATGAGCTCATCCACTTGGGACATTTGTAATTGTGTTATACTGTGAACGAGTGGCGACTGGCAGTTAAAAAAGCTGAGAAGCTAAAAAGATCATTAAGCCGGGAGGGGGGAGGGGTTGTGGGTTTGTGAAATCCGATGATAAAACTTTGAAATCATGAATTGGACCAAAACAATGACAATTTTTTATCCTGATTGTTGATTGGTAAAAGTTTGGTGTGTCATTTTATGTGTTTTAGTCAATAAGGGATTAGCAGGGGGAAAATAATTTTTAAAAAAAGGATTACCTTGATTTCTTTGGGGAGACTAGGGAGGACCCTTCCATTCTGAGGAAGCTCAGCTTTTACCTCGTCTGACTCTCAGCACCTCTTCAGTCAATCTGACCATTCCTTCTGGCCGTGAGGTGTCACTGTTTATAAAATAGCAATATATTTTACAATATTAGAGAGAAAGAATGTGTTTTTAAATTACTTTTCTGCTTCTCTTCTTGTATGTGAAGTCTGCTTCCGTAATGAAAAGTGATGTTTTATATCATATATTGTCACAGACGTTTCATACTGTTCAAGCACATATGTTCATAATGTTGCGCTTCTGGTCATTAAATTGCTGTATTAGGTTCCTGCTTTGTTAGAGGACGTTGTATAGCTCTTGCTCCCATGCTACCTACATGTAATCTGGGCATTCGGTCTAGTCACTTGCCTAGTCGCCTCCTCGACAGCATTTATGTCTGTAATGTGCTATTTGCCAGACTTGTATGTCGCTTTGAACAAAAGCATCTGCTAAATATAAATAAATGTAAATACTCTGCGAAGGCTCAGACCAGCTAGCTTATCCCTGTGCTGCTCGCTGGAACAGAGTGATTCACCACTGGCCGTCTGCTTCTTCTGATTGGCCAGTGATGGGCAAAGTGAGCATTCAAAGCTCACGGGGTGGGAGGGGGTTATTATTGGGGTCAAGTGCTGCCGGTGTCTGCTTCTCTAACCCAGCTCACACTGCTGTGTCTCAGCTCACACTGCTATATCCCAGCTTACACTGCTGTGTCTCAGCTCACACTGCTCTAACCCAGCTCACACTGCTGAATCCCAGCTCACACTGCTGTATCTCAGCTCACACTGCTATATCACAACTCAAACTGCTGTAACCCAACTAATGGTGCTCTGACCCAGCTTACAAGGTTCTAACCTAGCTCACACAGCTCTGACACACAGCTTCAACCTGGCCAAGCATCTCTTTCACACTCTCTCAGTCATTCAGCTCTGCTCTGTACCATTCCCCCAAGCTCTTGATGGGTCTCTCACTGATAGTGGGGATGATCTCCTCTCCAATTTTGAAGCGAATGCGGTCCTGAATGCGTCCTTTCCTCAAAACAAGGCTCCTTGACTTTGATGGCATAAGCTCCATCCTGGCACCTGCGATGATCTTGGCAAGATCTTCCAGAATCCACCGACCTTCTGGAACTGATCTTGCAGTTATTGTCAGATCATCCATGAATGCCTTAACGGGGGCCTGCTGGACACCATTTGCCAGAACCGCACCTCTCCTTGGCTTCTCCACTGTCTTGACCAGGAGGTTCATTGCAGCTGCAAATAGGATGACCGAAATTGTGCACCCTGCAACAATGCCTTTTTCCAGCCTCTGCCAGCTGCTTGTGAAGTACCCGCAGGTAAATCACATCTTGAAGCGGTTGAAATAATCCTGCAGGAGATGCTGTACTTTTCCTGGGACATGGTGGGCTTGCAGAGTGAGGTCCACCAGCTTGTGTGGAACAGCTCCATAAGCGTTGGATATATCGAGCCAGAAGACTACAAGGTTTCCCTGATTGCGCTTTGCATTCTCAATTACCTTTGAGATGACGCTTCTGTGCTCAATGCACCCTGGAACTCCTGGGACACCCCCCTTCTGAACTGCGGTATCGATATACTTGTTGCTGAGCAGAAAGGAGGTAAGTCTGCCTGCCAAGATTCCAAAGAAAATCTTGCCCTCCACATTCAGAAGAGAGATGGTGCGAAACTGTTTTATATCTGAGGAGTTTTCCTCTTATTTGGGTATAAAACGCCCCTCTGCAATGAGCCACTCATCTGGTAGGTGATTCCCCCACCATGCCACCTTCAACAACTTCCAGAGTCTCCTTCTGAACCGCTCGCACTGCTTATAGACTTTGTAAGGAATCCCATTGGGTCCCAGTGCCGAGCCAGCCCTTTCCCTTTTAAGGGTATCATTGACCTCATTCCATGAAGGTTCTTGGTCCTTGAACATGGTTGTTGGCTCGTCCAGGGTCATCACGGCCTCCTTGATCTCCAGCTCTGTGCCCCTCCCTGGATCACTGTGTGTGCTGGAGAGGTACTCCTCCACCTCTTCCCTTGGTGCCTGCAGTTGACCAGACCTTTTGTCACCCAGGAGCTTCTTCAGATAGCCAAATGGGTTCTTGATGAACTGCTCTCTGAATTAATCTCTGGTGATTAATTCTTAAACAAGTCTATCAGTGATATTTGTTCGCATTACTCAATATGCGCACGGGATGATAGAAGGATTCAACAGTCAGCTAGAATTTCCACAAGGAGCTCATTTTAATTTCTACATGTCTAAGTTAACGAGTGGACAAGGGATGCAATGGTTCTCCGAAATAAGCCGCTCACAGCACAGATCGAGTCAATGTTTAAGTGAAATCCAGGTCATTTTAATTAAAATAGTCGCTTTCAAATCCTGTCCTAGCGCAAAGTGTCCAGGATGACATCGAATATCTGGTCACCCTACTTCAATAAACCCTGAGAGAAGCACCAAGGCTGGACTGGGCAAAGTCTTATCAAAGAAAACTGGCCAAGTCATCAACTAAAAGGCAGCAACGCTCAATCCACATCTATCCTCTCTGCTGAGGGGACTCGTGGACTTTGAGTAGGACTTCATTTAAAATGGTGAGCTTACTCAGTGCCAATACTCACTTATATTTATCAAAACACCAGCGTGTCTCATTCCTATAAGTCTTTCTCCCTCTCAGACTCACACTCCTTCTCCCGCTCTCCCTTACAGAGTGAAAAGTCTGAACCCCTCTTCCATTCCCTCACTCTGACATTATTATTTATTCTCACAATCATTCTCATACTCGTGGCGTCTGTAATTCTCACACTGTGTATTCTGTCTGTTATTCTATGTGTTATTTGTGGCCTCTTTCAGAAACTACACATGCTGTACAACAGTTTGAATGTCCCAGGCTGGGATGTTTCGTCTGGCTGAGGGGTTAGTTCAGGTCTTTATGTTCATAGTCCACATCATGATAAGAGGAAAGGAGGAGCACATAGGCTGATTTTGTATATGAGTTATGTTGCAATGATTTATTATGGAACTCATATCTCTCTCTCTCTCTCTCTCTCTCTCTCTTTCACACACAAACACACACACAGTCAGACAGCTACCAAGGCTGGATTGAAAAACTGGTTCTAATGAGCCAGAAATCAGTACTTGGACTTCAGCACTTAAACATGTGCCTTGTTAGAGCTTCAAGATTCAGTTCATATTTAGACAAGCTGTTGTTTCCAACATTATTTTAAAATAAAAGGTAAAGTGCGCTAAGATGCTGTGGGTTGTTTTCTATCGCAATGTAATTACATGATTTCTATTGCAATGTAATTACACTCACAGAGAACATTTTGTTCTGTGCTTGTACAGCTTTGGACAGATTTTGGGGCAACCAGTAAGATCTATTCCTGCCTATTTCTTAACTATAGTGCCTTTAATCATATCTAGTATGACTTTTTATATGTATATAACCTGCTAAATCAAAATTAATTTAGGGTAAAAAAAAACTAGGTGGATTAAAATGTATGTAAAAATACAATTTGCATTAAAACACATCAGTCAACTTTAAGATACAGTAAAAAAAAAAACAGCTATATAATCATGGGCGTAAATCCCGGGGGGGACGGAGGGGACATGT